GCTGCTCTCAATCCAGTCTCCTCCAGCCTGTGTTTGTGCTTGTGATTGTCCAGACCCAGGTGCAGGACCTTGTGCTTGGCCTTGTTCACCCCAATATTAGCCTTCAATATCACCCCTCCCAATACAATTAATATCATGTACCTGCTTGATGGATTCAGCCACTAAGCACCCAACAATCAACTTCTCATTGGCCACAAACAAGTATATTTTAGTCTTGGCTGGGCACCTCAAAGAAACTTGTTTAAATCCCAATTCGTTATCAACAATTTCTCGCACATCTTCTGCCTAAGGCAACAAAACCAGACAGAGAGAGAGGGACATGTTAAGTACTAACACACACGTTCTTTGACTGTGCGTGAAACCTGCCAAAAAAAGGGTCTCATTCCCCCAAATAATCCTGTTTTTCACAAGGTCAGGCTTCACAATGAAGCTGTGAAATGCTCTGCAGGTCCCCACCATACTGCGGGCTCTCACTGCACACACAGCTAGTGTGGCCTATATATATATATACACACACATACATTTTGCCCCTAAATTAAAAAATAGAAGCACTTCGGAGCAGTTCTTAAACAAAATGCTTCCCACTCCACAGGAGCCTTCTAACAGAGTAACTGTTTCCTCTAACTGCAGATAATATTGATGAGGAGTCTCTCTGCCATAATCCCTCTATGCCTGCCCCTCACCCCTGTGCTTGTGAGGGAAAGGATTGGGTTATGTTGGTCATGTAAGAACAAGAGCTTCAGTGCAGGGAGCGTGTGTGTGTGTGTGTGTTTGTCAGGGTGGGTGTCCCCAGCAACCCAGACTGCTGTCATAACCCCACTTGCCTCTCCTGTTCACCCTCTGCACTGGCAAATGATGCATGATCAAGCGCTGAGATTGTTCTGGGAGCAAAGCCAGCGGAAAGCTGATCTGCAACATAAACCCCCAAAATAAACAAACAAGTACCTTCTTGACGGCATATTTTGGGTCATCTGGAAGAATCAATACAACTTTCCCATCCCAGAACTCTGCCACAACCCGTTCTTTCTTCCAACCCTGCCACACAGGGGAAAAAAAAAAAAAAAAAGCCAAACAAGAAGTTAATGGTCTAGCAAGAGAGAGGAAGTGATTCAGCGAAGGCTCTGGCAGATGAAGCTGTAATCTGACCTGCTGGAGCTTTCAGGAATAAAGTCAAGTCACATTCATCAAACTGATGAAGGCAGACAGTTGCTGGATCTGCCTAACTTGCTCTTTAACCTCCTCACTGGATGACAAACTCTTTGCCTGCGGCTGCCTCAACTGTTCCTGGCTATGGCACACCACCTCCCCTGTGTTCTTCAGCTGAGCTCAAGTGCAGCCATCGCCTTACCACATATCGGAGGCCCTCGAGGAATCTCTTGTGGTGCTGGATGTGCTGGGCTTCATCCTCCGGGCTAGCAGCTGTGTAGATCATGCCGCACGACTTGCAAACTACAGCCCCAAAATGCTTCTGACCAGCATCCTAGTAAGAAAGGGAGCCAGCTAAAATGCCTTGAAGCTTTTCAAAACCACGTTCAGTTTAAAGAATGAGGTTGGGAATTGGTTCTAATAACAATCATCAAAGATTCAAGTATTTGTTTTCATAGAATAACTGAATGGTTTGGGTTGGAAGGGACCTTAAAGTTATTATCTAGTTCCTATCCCCCTGCCACTGGCAGGGACACCTTCCACTACAGTGTTAAATGTTTTGGGTGGAAAGGGCCTTTAATGTTATTATCTAGTTCCTCCCCCCCTGCCACGGGCAGGGACACCTTCCACTAGAACAAGTTTCTTGTTTTCATTTGAATTTGTGAAGAGGACAAAAAGCTTTTGCTTATCTGCAGAATATTTGGAACTACACAGCATGTATTATCCAGGGAACACAGTGAACATGTTATTCCGAACAAGCCTTGAAACAGATCAGCAGTATCCCCACTGAGGAAACAATGTAGAAGAGCCCAACAAAAAACATAAACTAAAGGGAAACTCTGGATAGTCTTTCCATCAGTTATCTAGAAATAATGTCAGTTTTATCTCTTAGCACACAGGGAGGGGAAGAAAAGGAACTGAATGCCAGTTCTGCAAGAAGAGAGCAGAATGCTCTTTGGATGTCTAGTCACATGCAAGCAGCAGTATAAGGATGGAGCTGCTGCAGTCCTGCATCCAGCTCAGAGGCCCCCAACCTAAGAAGGATGTGGAGCTGTTGGAGTGAGACAGAGGAAGAAATGAGGATGCTGTGAGGGCTGGAGCACCTCTGCTATGGAGACGGGCTGAGAGAGCTGAGCTTGTTCTGCCTGGAGAAGAGAAGGCTCCAGGGAAACCTTAGAGCAGCTTCCAGTGCCGACAGGGGCTGACAAGAAAGCTGGAGAGGGGCTTTTGATAAGGGTCTGTAGGGACAGGACAAGGGGCAATGGCTTTAAACTGACAGAGGGGAGATTGAGATGAGATCTCAGGAAGAAGCTGTTCCCTGTGAGGGTGCTGAGGCGCTGGCACAGGTTGCCCAGAGAAGCTGTGGCTGCCCCATCCCTGGCAGTGTTCAAGGCCAGGTTGGACGGGGCTTGGAGCAATCTGCTCTAGTGGAAGTGTTCCCTGCCTGTGGCAGGGGGTTGGAACGGGAGAAGCTTTAAGCTCCCTTCCAACCCAAACCAGTCTCTCATCCTATAATTCAGTGAGGTGAATTGAAGCCTGGTTCATTAAGGACTCCTCTTACTTCTCTGCACTGACTGCTGCTGCAGCAGCTACCTTCCCTTCCACACATCCCATATATGGGATGTTTGAGGTTCCCATCATGGCACAGCATCCAAAGCCTGTCCCTCATGGGCACAGCCAGGCAGGGCTACAGCTCGTGGCCGGCCATGTGCAGGGTAGCAAGTGCTGCTGAGCACACACTGCTGCTTTCTTCTTAGCACAGGCACTCCTCTGGATTTCTTCCTTCCACAGGGACCAGTTTCCAAAACACTCAAAAATTTGTATCTGTGAGGTCTCAAATTTGACAGAAATCATGCAAACAGCTCAAAAGGTGCTAGAAAGGGCAGCTCAGCTAAAAAGAATGATCACATAAGCCCCATTCCCTCAGGAAACAGGCTTGAAAACATCTGCATGTCACCAAGTGAGAACAAATGGTTTACTAAAAAAATTACTCATCGCTGAAGGCATATTTTCTGGAAACCCACAGATGTGATGGCTGCACAACTCCGGAGCCTCAGTAACACCACTCGGCCTCCTCCTGCTCCACAAGCAATGCACCATGCTTCAGGGCAACAGCAGGAAGGCAGCCACAGAGCTGCCAAAGAGGGCTGCTCATTGCTGCTCCCGTGCTGCCCTGGCTGATGCTCGCTGCTGTGGTTGCAGTGCTGTGCTGACTGCTCAAACAACGGGCTGGGAAGCCTTGGGAAAAGGAAATTATCCAGCCAAATTCATTCCTATAGCATCCATACAGGCTTGGCTGAGCTTCCTTTGGACTTTTCTTTTTTTTCTTTAATATCATGTTCCATAAATCTCTTTTGAATTCCAAAGTGTAATAAAGTGTTAGTCCCAGGGAAACCATAACAATATATTTCCTAGCTTCTACGCTGTCCTAGTCTAGCGCTAACTACGTTAATCACTGCACAGTTACACTCATTGCAGTGTGGTTGGTTTGAGGTTTACACATAAGAAAATCTACTTCTCAGCGAGCCTCAAGGCCTATTTTTTACATCCTTAGCACAGAGAGGACCCAGCATGCCACGAGGGGAACCTTACTATGATCATCTGGTCTCTGGAGTGCCTGCAGAGTTCTTTTGCCTTCTTGTTTTTCTGCGATGTGTGAGGCGTTTGTGCAGGTGGGCTGGACCCAAACGGAGGAGTCGCTTCATCCAGCGCAGCCTGTGTCCTGAAAATCATTTCAGAGATGAAAATTAGGCACAGGTTAACAAACATGTTGGGTAGTGACTTTTACCACACAACACCCCAAAGTAGGAAAGATAGAGGAAAGCTTCTCGACAGCCATGGTGCTAGCTCTTCTGGAGGAGGGAAGGAAAGAGGGGGCTCTAAGAAGAGCTACAATTACATCATAAGTTAAGTAACTTACTTAAGCACCTCTCTCACTTCCACAGCCCCCCTGTTTCCCAGATACTGGAAATTAAGCAGCTCCCTAAACAGTCAAGGAGATACACAAGAAACTGAGAAGCAGAGGGCCAGGTCCACAACGCGTGGAAACAGCAGGTGAAGAAATAGGTGCACAAGTCATAGAATCACAGAATAGCTTTGAGTTGGAAGGGACCTTAAAGCTCATCCAGTTCCAACCCCCTGCCATGGGCAAGGGCACCTTCCACTAAAGCAGGTTGCTCCAAGCCCCGTCCAACCTGGCCTTGAACACTGCCAGGGATGGGGCAGCCACAGCTTCTCTGGGCAACCTATGCCAGCACCTCAACACCCTCACAGGGAACAACTTCTTCCTAAGATCTCATCTCAATCTCCCCTCTGTCAGGTTAAAGCCATTCCCCCTTGTCCTGTCCCTACAGGCCCTTGTCAAAAGCCCCTCTCCAGATTTCTTGCTGGCACCTTTAGGCACTGGAAGCTGCTCTAAGGTCTCCTGGAGCTTTCTCTTCTCCAGGCTGAACAAGCCCAGCTCTCTCAGCCCATTCCCATAGCAGAGGTGCTACAGCTCTTGGAGTATCTTTGTGGCCTCCTCTGAACTCATTCCAACAGCTCCACACCCTTCTTATGTTGGGGGCCCCAAGAGCTGGATGCAGGACTGCACCACCAGAAGCCCCAGTCCCTCATGCCAACACTCCTTCAGAACAGGGAATCACAGCATCTTGGGAAAGCTCTTGGTACTGGGGCTGAGCTCTGCTCTGCCTCCTCACAGGGCCAGCCTCCCACAGAGGGGAGCAGATCAAGGCATGGCCACGAGGAATTGCTCTTACGCAAATCCAGACATGGAGGCTTTACATGAATTTTTTGAAGTTTACAGAGAAGCAAGTTGTTATGGATGATAATAATTGCATGTTTTTTCTAACCTACATTCAGGCTTCTGTGCATAAGGTGGCATTTCTTAAGCCATCTTAAAGTGGGAAATTGTAACTGTTGTGCAGCAAATCTTAACATGGAATTAATTTAGAGCTACACCAAACAATTTTATAGATTTGGATACTAAGGAGAATTTCCAAAGCAGAGACTTCATGGAGGAAAAGCTTGCGCTCATCAGCTTCCCAGGAGACAACTGCAAATCCAAGACTGAGCTTCAGTTAATCACAAACACCAGGATTTCCACACATTCCAGGGTTCCACTTGCACCACGGAAGGTATTTGAAAAGCCACATGAGGAAGCAAAGCAAATACTGCAATCAGATCTCTCTTTCAACACTTCTGTGGCAGAGGACTACAGTAGCACGACAAGTTTTGCAAAGTTTATTTTGGCTCTTTTCAGAGTGACTTTAAATGGGGTTTTTCATGTTCACAATAAACTTGGAATGCTTTTATTGTTAACAAAGTATATCAAGGAGTTGATTCAATATGGGAGAGGGACGCGTAACTCTTGCATGGGAAAACAAGGGGTTTTTTTCCACCAGAGGTCTAAGAGTATTACAGCATATTAACTAAAGGAATAACCTAATTGGAAGCACAGACACCAGGTTGTACAGTTACACCTGATGAGTAAAGAGTCCCAGTGTTTGCAAGCAATTTAGCAATACCATGCTTTTTATAGAACCAAAAAGCAAACTTCACAGGCTTGTGCTTCATTTCCATCACCCTAAATATCAAACATCATCTTAGAAAACACCAGCTCAGGTGAGCACGGGACAGTGGAAGAGAAGCAGCTGCTTCCATAAATCCTTTTCGCCTGTTTTTATCCCAACTTCTGTCTTGCCTTCAGCACCTGGATCGACACTGCTGAGCATGCTACTACTTAGTGCTGCCGTGCTCAAATATCTCAGGTTAAAAAAGTAAGCGCAGAACAAAGCACACCTGACCAGAAAGAATACCCATGTTCTTTAAATTCAGTGTCAAACCAATCCCTCTGTGTCATGAGGTTCATTGCTTTTCATAGAATCACAGACTCCAACCTGGCCTTGAACACTGCCAGGGATGGGGCAGCCACAGCTTCTCTGGGCAACCTGTGCCAGGGCCTCACCACCCTCACAGGGAACAATTTCTTCCTAAGATCTCATCTCAATCTCCCCTCTGTCAGTTTAAAGCCATTGCCCCTTGTCTTGTCCCTACAGACCCTTATCAAAAGCTCCTCTCCAGCTTTCTTGTCATTCCCTTTAGGTACTAGAATATGTACAAATTCACAAGTAAAATGTACTACAGACAGTAAGCAAGCATGTATTTCCTTATTCACAGGCTAGAGCCCCTCTAAACCAACACAAATTTGATCCTGCATCTTCTCTTAAAAACAATCAACCAACCCAAGCCACCCTCAAACTCCCAAACCTTACGAAGAATGGGAGAAAGCTAAACCATCATAGTAAGAATTACTATAATTAAAAAAAAAATAAAAATCATGATTCTGCAGCTATGACATATCTGATCATTCCTGGAAAGACTTAGCAAAGAGTATCCTACCTTTTCTTGCTGGTTAGAGGTGAGCTGAATATCGGGTAGACGACAGCCTTTGAAGGAGATGCTGGAAAAGACAAGCAAAATTATTGTGGTTAAGAATCCTTTTTAGCTGCAGAACACATTGATACATGGCAACACGCATTCAAACACCAATGAGGCTGCAAAATGACACACAAGAGTGAAACTGAACTCCATAGAGAAGAAGTCCGGAGAGTACTGGGAATCTGTTGATGCTGCAGGATAAAAAGGTGTCAGTGAGTGGTATCCAGCCATAATCACCTTAAAAGCACTGGAAGTGATGTTGATCAGGCTCTTCGGTGCTTTCCCCTCTCAGATCAGAATTATGAAGCAGAAATTTCTGCTGCAGTAGTTTAGCGCTTCCCTGGCTGTTAATTAGGAGTGTTAATCAAGAAGTTTCTCCCTTTCCCATTATTTCAGCTAAGGCACCCTGAGCCTACAGCTTCTTCTTCAGCCTCAAGAAGTTGGGAAGTGGCGAGTTAACCACTAGGTTACAGCACATGAGCTGCAAGCTTTAGGATAATTTAGCAAAGACTTTGGTAAGTAAAGCCAAAATAAATAAAAAAAATAAATAATAGTTTGGAATTTTATTTCTCTCAAGGATAAAAAGTTTAGGTATTAGACTGCTTTATGCCATCGTATTTTGACCATGTACACCTCATAGCAGCCTTCCAGTGCCTAAAAGGGCTGAAAACAAATCTGGAGAGAGACTTCCAACAAGAGCCCGTAGGGACAGGACAAGGGGGAATGGCTTTAAACTAACAGAGGAGAGACTGAGATGAGATCTTAGGAAGAAGTTGTTCCCTGTGAGGGTGCTGAGGCCCTGGCACAGGGTGCCCAGAGAAGCTGTGGCTGCCCCATCCCTGGCAGTGTTCAAAGCCAGGTTGGACGGGGCTTAGAGCAACCTGCTGTAGCAAAGTGTCCCTGCATGTGGCAGGGGGTTGGAGCTAGATGAGCTTTAAGGTCCTTTCCAACCCCAACCATTCTGTGATTCTTAGGAATTACAGAAACTTAGTAACATCTGCAAGCAGAATAGCCGCTGTAAGAGCCCCAAAAAACACACCATGAATATGAACCAGTTTCTAAGAAACTGGATATAATAGAAAGTATCTTCTTCATATCAGTAGTGGAAAAGATCATAAGGAGTCATGAAGACACTAATAAACAATAAAAAGCCTACAGATTCCTAGAAATGCAGGAGCTTAAGGGGCCAAGACACCTCTTTGGAAAGGCCCCAGCAGGGAAATGCAGGTGATGTTTGGAAACACGATGGCAACAGCTTTACAAACAGGTGGAAATCACAGTGAGAGGAGTCTTTCACACAGACCTAGAGACAGCAGGAAGAAGAGCAGCTGCAGGAGGGAGCACGCCACTCCTCGGGATGAGGAGGAGGCACAGGGAAGTGTTGACCATCAGTAACAGGCTTCACTACCTTCCAAAAAGCTGATAAATAAGTTCCCATGTGAAGCAAGACTAAAGGGGGGGGTGGGTTTGTAAAAAACCCAAAAAACCTCAGGAGTGCTGGTAATTTCTTCAAGAAACAGATTAAGACCAGATGTGCCAGAACGAAGCAGAGTAAGAGACAAAACACAGCTAAATCATGACTTTTTCCTCCCACTGGAAATTCAAGAAATCTCAAAGGGAATAGAAACCAGGGGAGAGCAGAGCAGCAACATGAAGAACTGAAAGCAGAAATGCCAGCCTGCAAAATGAGCTGTACCTGGGTAGGCAGTGGCACCCTGCAACAGAAGAAAACCCAGATGTTTTGCTACCAAAAGGGGAGGAAACACTAAAACTAGATGACAAACAATGACAAGAACATGTAGTGCCTTTTTATTTCAGTCATCAATAAAAGAATGAGTTGTGATGCGAGTGTCAGCACAATTAAGACCAAAAGGAGATAAACTTCCACAGCTGGGAAAAGATGTCAAGGGCACATACAAATAAATTAGACCTTTACAGGCTCATAAGGCTCCCAGGGCTGCTGGGACTGGAATAGAGAGTGCTGCCTATTTTTAAGAGGGAAAAATGGAGAAACCAGGAAATTAGGATAAAATAACATGACCTCAACTTCTGCAAACATACTGGCACATTAGTGCATACTTGGAAAATGAGACAGCAGGTAGAGGCCAATGCATTATTTTGCTTTAACAAAAAAATATTTAAGTAACATATCTTCTTTTTTTTAATCACTTGTTATTCCAAAGAGGAAATATAACAATTATTGTTAATAATTCACTGCTGAAACGAGTAGTATAGAGTGGACTTTCCTCAGTGACTGTAAGGAGTAAATGCTAATATGTGCTTCTATCTTTATAGGTAATACTTAGCACATAGGGGCATATATGATTTTAATTTTAAAAGCATTCTTGCATTGAAAAGAGTGAGAAAAAACAGGCTGATATAACGATAAGGGGAACCACTACACTTAACCACAAGCCAGGGGAAAATAAGGGATAGTGATCAACCCTCCAGGCAGCAGCTGCATGTAAAACATGTGGGTTGCTGTCTGCCTCCACCCAAGGGAAGCTCACAAGGTTTCCTGTGGAAATGTAGGTGTTTGTTGTGTGAAAAATAGATTAATTACTCCTTTCCTGGTAATTAGTGCTTGTAAGGCTTAGAGGGAGGTCTCTTCTGCTTCATTTTCCTACAGCAACAAAAGTCACAGACCAAGAGAAGTACAATCCAGCTCACCTTGCTTATTCACCTTCTGTGGAGACTGGCTTGAAGGAATAATGCCATCATCCGACTCACAGGCTGTAGAACTGATTTCATCAGCATCCTATAAACGGAGACCAGTTTTTAAGGCAAAAAGAAAACTCTCCAGTTGATTAAGTTCTCACACAGCAGCTACGGAGTCACACAGAGTTCAAAGGAGCTTCATAGCGAGCATTAATTGACATGATGAAGCATTACAGTTGTATTTTCCAATCACAAAACATGGTCTTAGCACACTCCCTGTCTCACTGTTATGAAAGTTACACCTGAATGCTGAACTGGAAAATGTTGCACCCTGTACTGAGGAAAACTCGTTTCCTGCAGGTTACTCTCAGCCTTCTGGAACACCATCAATATTTACCTGTCTTCAGGTACTGTTAAGACCAAATTCAGCTTGTGACAATGGCCATGGGTTTTGATTCTTAACACCTATGCATGTCCCTGCTTTTGTTTTATTACAGGATGTAAGGGTTTTATTTGCTTTTCAAGTATATCTCAACTGTAGAGGTTTGTATTTCTTTACCATTTCTGGGACTCTGCTTCACTCTCTGCCTAAACATCCGGACCTTCACAGCTTCTGGAACCCTCTCACAGACGCTCTATAAAAATCGAAGTTTGCCAAACTGATTTTTGCCTTGAACTCTGCTCTTTTTGTATATGACAGTGTATTATTTCCCACCAGGAACACCAGGCAACAGACCTGGCAGTAGCAGAATCCGAGACAGATCAAGGCCACACTTGGTCTGCGCTCAGTTTGTAGTAAGGAAGTTGCTGAGTTCCCTTTTCAAACACTCCATGTTTCTGGTTAACCTTAGAGAACAACACAAAAACTGCCACAACAGCAGAATGAAATGCTATCAGATCATTTCTTTGTTTTACCGCACATGCAAGATTGGACTGTGCAAGCCAACATTTGTGTTCTATTAAAGCTGCATTGTAAAACATATTGACAATCAAGTCAGGAATGCAAGAGAGAGACTAAACCAGTGCAGGTGAACAAAGGAGACCATAAACTGTCTTTTATGGAATATAGAACACATTAGCCCTATAAAAACAGCTTCCAATCTTGTTCATTGCTTCCTTTCAATGCCCAGTATAAAACACTACAGTAGTATTCTAGC